GTAGCAGCCAGCGGCCAGTAGCCAGCAGCGTACCAAAAAATCTAGATTTTTCTAGAATTTCAGACGACACGTTAGCGACTTTTTTGGCGTGGTTCTGGGACTCGCTCGTCCTTCAGAGCCCTGGTGTTTTCCCCCCCGGGAGGTGATTTTTTCGAATGTGTTTTACTGCTAGCAGCCGCCAGCAACAGAATCTATCGAAAAATTGTGTTTTTCTAGGGTGTCAGACGACACGTTAGGCAAGAGCACGCAAAAGGTGCACATAGCCAGTAGCTAGCAGCCAGCGGCCAGTAGCCAGCAGCGTACCAAAAATCTAAATCTATAAATTTTTCTAGGATTTCAGACGACACGTTAGGGACTTTTTTGGCGTGGTTCTGGCACTCGCTCGTCCTTCAGAGCCCTGGTGTTTTCCCCCCCGGGAGGTGATTTTTTCGAACCTGTTTTACTGCTAGCAGCCGCCAGCAACAGAATTTATCGAAAAATTGTGTTTTTCTCGGGTGTCAGACGACACGTTAGGCAAGAGCACGCAAAAGGTGCACATAGCCAGTAGCTATAGCAGCCAGCGCCAGTAGCAGCCAGCGGCCAGTAGCCAGCAGCGTACCAAAAAATCTAGATTTTTCTAGGATTTCAGACGACACGTTAGGGACTTTTTTAGCGTGGTTCTGGCACTCGCTCGTCCTTCAGAGCCCTGGTGTTTTCCCCCTCGGGAGGTGATTTTTTCGAACCTGTTTTACTGCTAGCAGCCGCCAGCAACAGAATCTATCGAAAAATTGTGTTTTTCTAGGGTGTCAGACGACACGTTAGGCAAGAGCACGCAAAAGGTGCATATAGCCAGTAGCTAACAGCCAGCGCCAGTAGCAGCCAGCGGCCAGTAGCCAGCAGCGTACCAAAAAATCTAGATAGATTTTTCTAGGATTTCAGACGATACGTTAGGGACTTTTTTGGCGTGGTTCTGGCACTCGCTCGTCCTTCAGAGCCCTGGTGTTTTCCCCCCGGGAGGTGATTTTTTCGAACTTGTTTTACTGCTAGCAGCCGCCAGCAACAGAATCTATCGAAAAATTGTGTTTTTCTAGGGTGTCAGACGACACGTTAGGCAAGAGCACGCAAAAGGTGCACATAGCTAGTAGCCAGCAGCCAGCGCCAGTAGCAGCTAGCAGCTAGCAGCTAGTAGCCATTCAGAGCCCTGGTGTTTTCTCCACGGGAAGTGATTTCCAGGGCATGTTGTGGTTCTTCGGCACGTGATTATTTGCGAGCCTGTTTTCTTGTTGCAAGTTTTCATGCTGCGAGCTTCTTTGTTGTTACTTTGCATGCCATTCCGTTCGGCGGCACGCGCGACCATTGGATTGTTTGTGTTTGCTTTTGATTCGCCCAAATTCTTTGGTGCTTTGGACGCAGGTTCCACAAGTAGGGCATGTATGCGAAAAGTGGGCTGTCGGCCGAAGAACTCCATCCTGCACGCGAAATTGTTTCCCGCACACGCGTCGGTGGTCGACATGTCCGGAAGCAATTGAAGTAGTAATAGATTTTTCGCAGAAAGGGCATACGTACACATACTTCTTTTCTGGTGGTGGACTTTGTTCTCTTTCGTTTGGGATTGCAATCTCATGTGTACCTTCTTTTTCGCTCGTCATAGTCTGGCTCGTGCGTTGTTGTCTGTGTTCTGCAATCGCTTCCCATGTCTCGCGTAGCACGTGGGTCCGACGCAATTTTTTGCGAAGAGGTTCCAGTCGGCTTATGTTCGATGCAGCAGCCCGCTTGCGGAGAACAGCTTGCGCAAGAACGGTGCGACATGCATTGCATGTTTGTGCACCGTTTTTGCCAGAAGACCGCTTTCTCATGAAATCAGAAAATTGCTGCTGCGGTTTGCGTTGCTGACATGCTGCGCACTTCCAAGAACCACGCGTTTTCGTTTGGCACTGGACACACACTCTTCGCTTGGGCTCCCGTGCCATCCACGCTGAGGCGCCGAAGTGTTCTTTCGTTTGTTTGCTTTGGCAAACAAAACATGCTTTTTTGGTATCGCACGACAGACACACGCGATACATGCTCCAGCGGGGGTTTTGGTGCTTGCTTGCAAAGTGGGCAGCCGCGTGCCACAGACCGCACTGTGCGCATCGATATGGTGTGCCGGCCTCGCGCTTCTGCGCTGTGCATTCTTTGCAGACCCGATAGGTGTCTTGTTTCCACTGTGCTTTGGTGAATGCATCTTTACGTTTCATCTCCCCACACTCATGACATTGCCTCTCATCCAAGTACTTCTTGCGCAATGCATCCCAGTCCACCGGCTCTTGTTTCCACACATCAAGCAGAAGTTGCCGTCCGAGCGGCAGACCTGCTTGAAAAGGTGCCAGCGGGAACGGACGGTAGATCAAGATCTTCTGCCGTGTGCGGCAGCGTGTCATCCCAATGTACGCCGCTATTGGGTCAGCACCGACCATGTCAACGATCACGCCGGGTTCTATTGTGCTTCCTTGTGCACCGTAAAACGTGTCAGCGAAGTCGGGCGCGATGGGAAATTGGTACCGGGTGACTTTCAATTGTGGGTTGGTGCGGCCCGCGTCTAGAAACCACTGTGCACTTTGTATGCTGACCCCCGCCGACCCCGGCAGACGCAAGGGGGAGCGCGCCAGGGAATAAGACATTGCGACTACTACTATACTACTGCAGCTACAGTAGATAGAAACAGCAGCAGCAGCAGTAGCAGCAGCAGCAGCACAACAACCACAACAACAACAACAACAACAACAAGAAGAACAACAACAACAACAATGACCCTTTGCCGGGGGACCCTGTTGGGTCCCCCTCCCAATGGTGGTTGCTCACTAAGCGCAGAATTGTATTCACTGAAACAGACAACATCATTTAATAGCTACCCAATCTTCCACCTTTCCAGGACACGTATTTGTGATACAAGTTTTTTATCACATCCCAATATCAGACCTACCATTGGAAGATAAAAGAACATGCTTGTTGATATATTCAGTTCTATCTCGATCGGAGCTCTTTAAATTGCTACCGTTTCTTGGGCGGTTTCAAGCCTCAACCACCCAAGGTCACCAATGCAGCCCCCTATGGTGCCTTTGTGGACGTGCGCCAGCGACAGGAATGTAGGAATAGCTTGGGAAAATGGTTAACAATATAAGGTCCCATAAATCCCTAAAAAGTGCTGGTAATAACCATCCAGAAATGGGATGTTAACCAACAATCTTAAGAATCAACTTGTGACGAAGGTAATTTGTTGAACACCCCGGAACTCACAAGAATTCACTGGAAGATTGAAAGGCATTGTCACATGCCCCTATCCACACTGATGATCACTGATGTACCAAATCGGAACATATCCGAACATATAGGTGACTAAAATCCTTTGTTATCCTTTGTTTACATCTCGTTACTCCCATTAAAAAATTACACACAGATTTGCTCCCATGCTGGTTCCATCCCAGCATGTGTGGGTCAGAATTCAGGACCAAGTTTGGGACAGTTGATACTAAACACAACCGGCCCGTGTGGGTCCACAGACGTCTTAAACGTTGACACAAGTCTATCCAAAGTCTATCCCCACGATATCACCACTGAATATGCGGTATTCGCTACAATTGCTGTTTAGTATAATACATGGAAAACGGTTTCTCAATCATTTGATCCGATGGGATGGGCACCATATTTTTTAGACAACGACTCATTTTCTTGGCCCATTAGTTAAACCCAGGAACCCCAATGAGTTGCTGGTGACGTTCCTATTTTTGTTTGGATAGACCCGTTGATTTTGTTTGGTTAGACCCATATGGCAATATAGTTCATCCTATTTCTGCAATAAGTCGATTTGGTGAAACCATTAGTTTTCTACCATGTTGAGATAGTTATATAAGTTGTATATTATATATATACACTGTATATATATATATACACTATGTATATATATATATACCAGTGAATATTTAGAAGGGTATGATAATCCCAATGGAAACATCATATTTTGTCATCAGAATACTTTGCCAATATTATAAACATCAGAAAACATCTAAAACAAACAAAACATATCCTGTACCTACCTTCCTGGGGGGTTATCAATCCTAACTTGTCATGAACCCCAATGAATACCATGGTAAAAATCATAAATATCATCCAATTATCCAATTATCATTGAAAAATCCATATAATTTGATCATCCAATACATATCCCAAGAGTGTGATAATCCCAATATCATCCAATTATACCCAACATCATCATTGAAAATTCCCAATACATATCCCATTTATCATTGATAATCCCAATGTGTCCATGAACCTTCCCTTCAATGGATTGGTTTGTTGGGGAAAATTTACTGGTGAACACCCCATATATTGAGTGGGAAAATCGATGGTTTCCGGATGATCTTAGCATTTTCCAGCCCATGTTTTTCACAATTTATATGTTATATACCAGTTATGAAGCTCAAGCATCCATTCTTTTGCTTTCAAACAACTCTTTATGATTCACTGATGTGCCTTTCCCGTGCGAAGACTATGTCTCGCGCACGGGGAGGAGGACACACCACCCCCAAAAAACGGAAAGCAAAAGGATGGATGCTTGAGCTTCATGGCAGGGATATGGACTAGCAAAATTTCAGTTCAACACACAAGTATATACTATTTGATGCATATATATATAATGTATATATAAAGCATCCAGGCTGACAACTCACAGAACACTCGAATGAAGCCAGCTGACACCATTGCGAGTTTCTCTTTTCCGGGGTCGGCGGCAGGGGCGGCAGCCCTTAAATATATAAATATATATATGTATGTGTGAATCATAGATTGCAATGAATGGACCTGATACAATATCAATAATTACATCGTAGATTGAAATGAATGCATCTGATATAGATAAAAATGAAAAACGAAACGAGATGGATCCGATACTATATATACGTATATGTATGTATATATAATATATAGAAATGGAAATGGGTGGAGGCTCCCACAAGATCAAACAGAAACACAACGAAGATGGCCGACCTTGCAGATACCTCTCAGTTGGCCCACAAGGCAAACGGCCAACTCGCGCGAAGAGGTCTGCGCCGCACAGTCGACACCTCGGCGCTTTCGCATGGCCGTGGCAAACCAATCCTTCTGTAGGTCTGTAGGTTGAGTTGGGGTCGAACATTTTGAACGGATGAAAAATGAAAAACCAAATCTGGCAAAATATGGTGGAAAAGTTGAAAGCACATCTGAAAGCAACCCTCCTACCGGCATAAAGAGTGTTGATTTTTGAATATGTTTGAGGTGAAATGCCTTACAAAGGGCCTTGCCTTTGCCATGCTGGGCCCCTGACCGCAAGTGGGAACAAGGGAGCGAATGTTCTCGCACTGCTCCACAACGGATTGCAATTGCACACGGCAATGCTGAAGGCAATCAAGTTTACATTGCAAGAGGTCACAAATTCCCTGGCCAAGGTCGTGTGGAAGACCGTGTACTGGGTAGGACTGAGGCGACTGAGGCTTAAATGGGCTCAATGTATATTCGAAACATTTCGAAACCCTTCTATCGCAGCTATCGCGCCTGAGGATTCAACATAAAATATCATAAAATATCATAAAATATCATAAAATATCATAAGATATCATAAAATATCATAGAATATCATCAAATATCATAAATGTCGCTCACACTGAGTTCTTTGGACTTTGTCGATGCCATCTTTTGGGACCTCATCCTGTCAGCCCAGCCTGCGCTTCGTTGGCAGCAAGAGCTGCCTGGAATTCTGCGCTTCCATCTGCATCCATGACATCGGCAGGATTGCCATCCAAAGATAAGTTGCAGTTCGGATGGCCATCCGCCATCCAGAAACCGTTGATTGAGCATTGTGACTGGCACTGGCATATCCTGTCAGGGATGAAAATGGGGGTGGTCTCAACGCAGTCGGAACTGACCACTCTTCCACACTTGAAAGCTGAAAGGCTGAAAATAGCTAACCAGCGAACCTACAGTTTTCGCCTCTGTCCGGGGACGAAAAAACTGGGACTGTCCAGAAACAAGAGAGGTACAGAACAAACTGAACAGTTTTTTTCCAAACGTCCAGCTGCCAATCTATGCCGAGCTGCCCAACAGCATCACAAGGGTCTCCAGGGTCTTCAGTGACGTGTCGCGCGAAGCTGTGGAGTGTGAGCACTACCAGAAATGGTGATCCACAACGCATCTGATCCAGTCACCATTGGTGGCATCCTTTGGCCACATCAAGTCGTGAAGAATCGGGTTCTGCGGCGTCCGTGTATTTATGATGATGTATGATGTTGTATGGTATTATGGCCATGGTGTTGTGAATATTATATACAGATATACATAGATATACATGATGTCATGATGTTTGTGTTATATTATGTTAGGTTGTTATATGTATGTACTGTTTGTGAGTTCTTATTTGCAGGGTCTTAAAATTGGATTGTGGCGGCACAGTTGATTTCCAAATAACTGTAGGGTCCAATGTCCACATGTTTGTCACATTGTCTTGCAGAAAAACTAAGGTTTGCATTTTGCCGGTCAATTCGCAACGGAGAGTTCATGAATTTTTGCGACTCTGAAAAATCATTGACAATTGACCCCATGAACTTCATGAGGGCCTGGTCGAACAGGGAGTTGACCTATCATCTCCCCAGGCACTAGGTATCACCAGCATGAAGAGATTTCGCCGCAATCATCATCCACCGTTCTTCACCATCATTCCGATTCCATAAAACACTCCATCAAAAGCTCAACCGGAAAAAAAAACACACACAACATTGACAACCCAAAGTCCACCTCAAATCATGTTCTTCTGTTAATGGGTTGCGATGACTTGTGGCTATCTGCTATCCCCTGGGCCCGGTTGCTCCAAATCGGCCGCCCACCGAGCAAGGCTCGCAGAGCTGAAACCTCGGCACTGCCGATGGGCCAAGGGTCTGAACATGGAGGTACCAACCATGGAAAATCAATGAACATCACAAGTTGTCACTGGGAAATAATCAACTTGATGATGGTTTGACCATCAAGAAATCGGGATTTTTCATGGGATTTACCTTCTTGGCAATTTGTGAAAGAACTGTGGAAATCGCGTTTTTTCCCCAAACAGTGTGGCCACACTGAGGGGTTCTTGCGGTAGGTGTTAAGGCCCGGTGTCAGGTGGTCTCATCCGCGCGCAACATTTTTGCTGACCGTCGCAGCACAAACGCTCCTTCGTCTTCCGTTTTTGACGGAAGGGTGTCCCCTGAGACCTCTCGTGCAACCCTCTCGTCATCTGGGCCTCTCAGATCGCTCTCGTTGCGGCGTAGTGCGAATTTTGCGATCGCTCGCGCAACCCTCTCGTCACTTTGGGCCCCGTCAGATCGCGGTACTCATTTTGCGATCGCTCGCGCAACCCTCTTGTCATTTTTCGTTGAGATCTTGCCAAGAGGTCCCTTGCAGAGATCTTGCCAAGAGACCTCTTATAGAGAGCTTGTACAGAGGTCTTGCCAAGGGACCTTTTGTAGACATCTTGTACAGAGACATTGCATACAGATTTGCTGAGATCTTGCCCAGGGATCTCTTACATAGATCTTGCCAAGAGAGCTCTTGTAGAGAGCTTGTACAGAGATCTCTTCAAGAGATCTTGCCGGGAGATGCTTTTTCAAGAGCTTGTATAGAGACCTTGCCAAGAGACCTCTTGTAAAGATCTTGCACAGAGACCTGGTGAAGAGCACAGAGACCTGGTGAAGAGAACAGAGATCTTGCTCAGAGATCTCCTAGAGGGCTTGAACAGAGATCTTACTTTGAGATCTTTACACAGAGCTTCTGTGGAGATCTCTTATAGACACCTTGTACACATAGCCTTACAAGAGGATCTTGCACAGCAGCTTCTACACAGAACCTGTCACGGAGATCCCACACACGATCTTCTACAGACATCTTTACAAAGGGAACTTGCAGAATCTAACCTGGTATCTCAGTATCTCTTCTTCATGTTTCTTGCGACACTGTTTGGTTTGGGGTCTCTTGCCGGCATAATTGAAGGGGAAATCATCGAACTAAATGGGCCATATTCCATACTAGTGGCTGCGAGTATGCGAAATTACCGGAGGGTATAAGACTTACAAAACCAGCCATGATTGACCATACTGGTGAAATAATGGGACAGACCATGAATGGGATATACAGTGATATTTTCAACCGACAATATGGGGGCCTCAACGGAGAAACCTCCAAGTTGGCGCGCCTCCATTTCCAGGAATTGCTCTAAGCTGGCCCACCTGGTTGCATTGGCTGACACATTGCAATATGATTGAGGGGATTCCAGACTTTGGGTACCCCAAATTCATTGGTTCTGACTGATTTTGGGGCCCACGAAATCTAAGGAAATCTCATGAACCCCCATTGGTGAAACAAGACTCATTTAAGCCAAAGGAGCGTGGTAGCCGTGAGTGGAGCTCCAGCATTTGGGCAAAACGCTAGCCTGGCGATGTATCGATCATGATCTTCCCATTTCTTCCAGAAACCAATTTTGTGAGGCTTGTAGAGTTCCTTCTAAGCTCAATCTTCCCATGTGACTAGAGATTAAGAATGCAGAAATGCAGAAATGCAGAAACCTGAAATTCTTCCTGCCCTTCCAATTCGTTCCCAATCTGTACAAATGGATCCAGCATAAGCCATTCCATCACCCCGTCCGAGGCACGCTCCATGCTCCAAACGCCGCAGGTGCAGGGATGACCTTCGACGTGATGCCGTGATGTCGACGATTTCTACCGTCTAAACACTCAAAAATTGGATCCTCTCCTGTATATGGTTCAAAAGTATTCACCCCCAATTTGGGATGTTGAAAGACTGCAAACGACCAAGTCTGTGTGTCTTTCTGGTTATAGGTTAGATTAACATGTCTGTCTTCATAATGATCAAAGCATAAAGTGAATAAACCAAACGATATACCATACCCAGCAGCCTGCGCGCACTGCCAGATGGATCCAGTTCCATCGTGGTCTGGCTGGCATTTGCCCAAAAGGGGCCATCAATGGCTTGGTGAAGATTTTAGGGTTGAAACTGTGCTTTTTTTACACCCAACTATAGGAATTTCTATAGATGTTCTGAAAATGTTCCCTTAATCCAAGTCTGGAAATAAACAAACGGAGAAAATATGGGAAAATGGTGTAAGTTATGGGTGAAAATGATAGTTGATGGCCATGGAAAATGATGATAGATATTGATTCTATATATATATACGTACAATATATAAATAAATAAACAAACACATGAATAAAACAATGGATTGTAGCGTTCCGAATTTTGAGGCAACCTCCAATGGATGGAAACAGATAGATGTGCCGTTAAGTGCTTAAACCATTGCCCATGGCTTTTGCAAGTCATGCAGGAAGGGCAGGAGGTCCCACTAAAGCTTCTCATTTTATTAAAGCAATGCCATAAACCAGCCATATGGATTGATGGTTTATACACCCAGCTATAAAAACGGTACCCTCTGGTAATTTAACGTAGCTATTGAAAATGACCATTAACAGTGGATTTTCCCATTGAAAATGGTGATTTTCAATAGCTATGTTAAATTACCAGAGGGTAAAATTGGGGATGGTGGATCCTATCGCTTTACTCACATTACACACGCATACACAAGCCACGTTTTCAGAGCTGTGAGAAGCCATCAAGCCCTCCGTACAAGTAATGCAGGCAAAGAACGTGATAGCCTAAGCTGCCATTCGCTTTTTGTGGGCAGCAAAATGACTAGCAATGTTGCGTATAGTCCCACATGGTTCGTCCAAATTTTGTTTGTTGTTGAGTCACCATCAATGACATTTTCTGATTTTTCAAAGGATGAGAAAGGCATTCAAGGAGCAGGTGAGGTCATTCTAGGCATCCGAGCTTTGCAGCCTTGTCGCCGCACCTAGCCATCACAGCACGCGAAAAAATATGTTATTAATAACTGTTATCCAAATATCCAGTGAATATGATTCTATATGATCATATCGAATCATATCCATATCAATATCATATCAATATCATCAACAATACTAGGAAACCTTGGCCCATAATGGTCCATATCTCCTTGGATCAAACTCCAACCGTTTGTGTCTTCATGTTGCACCGTTGCACCGTTGCAGCGAGACTTCTGTCAAAATGTGGGCTTCCATGCTGGGTACCAGACTGGAGAGGTGCCAATTTGACCTCGAAAAATGCACAAACGTCCAACATCGCCCAACTATGCCCAACTATTCTTTGCAGGGAAGGCAGGGTAATTCGCAGTTGAGACTTTCTCGCTGTTGATTCAAGAATTCCGGGTTCCCAGGTTGATGATTTCTAAATTATGGGCCCACGTGCTCACCGGAAGCGCTAGAAGGAAAATATGGCAGGCGTTTTTCTCGCATTGTCCGAAGCTTGATCTTGTGATGTCAAGCACCGGCTGCTTGTGACACCAGTGTTGGACATCAGCAAAAGCCACATTGACACAAACCACGAGATGTCACTCAGTGACTCCAATGTCTAATGACTCCAATGTCTGATGACTCCAATGTCTAAGGACTCTAGTAGTGGTGTGACTTTGTATACTTTGGTGGAGCATTGGTCTTGAAGACAAATCACTCTTCAGGCCAGGTTTCCCTGACGTGTCAAGAATTCAGCTCAATTACAGTGCATAAATCACTGATGCAGTACCTTACCTAGCGATGACCAGGTGCTTCACTGTGCATAATTTCAGTATCAAGACAAGAGAATTGGTTTGATCTTGTGGGCATTCTTATTCTCAACAGGCAAGGGCTTGTGTCAAAGTGATCTCCTTGCGAACACATGTGTGTGACAATGCAAGGGGTGAGATAAGGCTTTCAGATTGACAAGCTGCGCTTGGATGACTTTTCCATAGCGCAGCCTTTTTCAAAGTCTACACCAACAAGATCTGCTTTCTCCGACACTTCCAGGTCAAAGTGATGTCCATTTGGACCAAAAAAATGGCACATGGACTGAATTGGCTGTACGGATTTGCCTGAAAAGTTCAGATTTTCCCTCAGCTGTTCAGAGTCGAAGGGTCGATGGTCGAAGCTTCATCGACCTCATGCTGTTGCTGATCCAACCTGCTCGCCAGCAGGACCCACGATGTCAATCTCCGGTGGCACGATTTCTTTGCCGTGCTGCATCCAGATGTTCCTCAGAGTAGTGTGCAAACAACGACTCTACCAGCCAAAAAGAAATGGGCCAATCTCACAAAACTCACTAGACTAAATGAACACTTGGACTTGT